CAGTAACTCTACCACGTACTACATCACATACCTGCGCCCTTGAGTGACCCTTAAAAATATCATTTGCATCTGTTTCCGTACATATGGAGTTACAAATAACAACCTAAGAACATCTATAAACTCCTCCCAATTGATAAAAAATTCAACCTTTCTTGAAACCTTTTCTTATGTTGGTTTAATCATCAATGATCAGTTCCCCACCTAATAAAAACACAACTAGAGGTATATTCCTCTTAGGAGAACACTACAAAGATATCAAAAGCCTTCTCTAATCTCATAATTCAATCCTCTACTTCTCTAGGTTCAACAACACCCTCAAACCTTAGGGGCTTTAATGGTAGAAATATCTGTAAATGTCTATCTACATCATCAGACCTATCAAAAGAACTCCTGTGCTAGGCCTAACACATTAACTCTGCTTCTAAATGGAAAACTAAGATATTGAATCAAAACTAATAGCAAGAGAAGTACTCTATAAAAGCATTGTATGAAAACCACTATACCCATTATTTATATCTTGGTCTTATTAATCCAACAGATGATCATACAGAATGGACGTAGCTAAATAGAAACATACACATTAAAAACAAATAATTTTGAAAGCCCAATACTACCCAAAACTATCACACTTGACTAAAAATAATTTTTTATAGTTTTGTTTACAATAAGTTCTCCAAAACCATTATTCTGATACTAAAAATGGACTATCACAATCCAACCCCGTATAAACTATAGACAAAATGGGTCAAATCATGTTGGATGGTGGAAGACCAAGCCCAAGATCAAATTTGGAGATCTTATCAAATTTTTTTTAATTACCAGTAGGTAATAAAGCCACTATTTAACTATTAATAAACATAAAATACTAGTACAAAATTTTCCGTTTCATCATTTTCAAATATATATATATATATATATATATATATATAATCTCCAATATAGTGCATGTATGTAAAAGAGATAGAGCAGATTAGAAAATAATCATAATTGTACAAAATTAATGAACCAAAAGAATATATATATATATATTTTGACAAGATTAAAATTAGCTCAATACTTAGTATATATATATATATATATATATATAAAATTATACTATTATAACATACAATCTCAACTACTCAATTGACTCCTTATCCTTGCCCAAACCAGAAACAAAATGCATAATATATGTGAGCCAACATAGCTCAGCAGGTCACACCCACTGATCTATATTTATAATGCTTGAAATCTACATTTATATGCACTGAATAGAAAAAATTGCAAGCAAAAGATTCAATTAATTGGAAAAGTACTAACATATAATAGAAATTAAATAGTCTCTCCTTCATAATGTAAATAAACAAGCACTTTTTGTATTACAATAAAACTTAACAGATTTCCCTTAAGCATTTATATCTCCAAATAAAAATAGATATCAGAATTCAGGTCATTGTAACTCCTTATGCTAGCATATTAGAATACAAGCCTTATATCTCTGAAATTTTAAGGATATTAGAAATTCATAAATTCATGCCCTTATGACTCCTTATGGTTCCAGCACAATAAAACTTCCTCCTAACATCAAAATTTCTCAGAAATCGTACATTGCAAGCAAATAAACACATGTATAATGGCACTTCAATTGGAATAAATGAAAATCTTCATAACATGGAATATTACATTACGCTAAATTGGTAACCAAAATATTTAATAAAATGCGCAGAAATTTCATGTTCTCTAAAATTCACCAAATTATCAAGAATTGTCCAAATTTTCATTTTAAAACCTTAAATGTACTACAACAATATTTTTTTTGAGATAATAAATATATTTTCAGCTTGCTAAAAATAGTGCACTTTCAATTCTATCAGGTTAAAATTTCTTACAAAATACTAAAATATCTCGAATATATGTATCTATAACATACAAAAAGTTATATGGTAAAAGTTTAATGAATGTGAAGTTATCCCTATTTTTTACATTACAAGTTTATAATTTTAATTAAAATAAAAATTATCATTCTTTTAATATTAAAAACTAAGATAAGAAGAATATAACATACCTCGATCTGGATAAGTTTATGATCTGGTATGAAAAAAAAAAAGAATCAAAGTCACTAAAACTTAACTTTCACTTTATAAAATCTCTCTCTCTCTCTCTCTAAGCTGATAGCCTAAGGGGTGTTTGGAAAAAATTAGAAAAAAGAAGTGAAATTTGATATTTTTATAAAATATTGACCTAGTACTATGACATTTAGCACAACAACACCGTAGTGCTAGCTATTAACTAAGAGCACGGTGTCACAATGCCCCAATCCATCACGACATTATTCCCCTTAAATTTTTAAAATTAGATAGAGCTCAATTCCATAGTGTTGCTAACCCTTATGCTGTGGCGCTCCCAAAAGAAAATTTTAGGTTTTATATGGCATATATAAGACAATAAAAAGACTCTTAAGAGAAACAAATGGAGCTTGAAATAGGGGAAAAGCAAATTGCCTCTACAATGAGAAGGAATTTATACCTAAAGAGAGGGAGTGAAAGTTACAAAAATATAATTTCCAAAAAAAATATTGAATTAAAAAAAAACGAGAGAGATAGTGGAAATATTAAAAACAACGAGGCAACTCTATTGAGGCGCCACACCATTTGACACAAAATGGCACAAACAGTGGCCAACCTAGCCGAACTCACTGGCTTTAGCTCTGTTTGGGGTTGATTTTTGTGCCAGAAGAAGCCTTTTCTAACATTTTTTAGATCTTAGAGACCATTTTGTGATATTTCAGAATCAATTATAACTCTTTTAGAGCCTAACAAAGCTTCTATAATAAAATGCAAGTAGATTTGAACAATTTGGGGCAAAAATTTATAATATTATTTACTCCATTGACACATTGATTTTAAGAAAACCCAAAATTATAATTAAAAATATTTTACTTGGTTCATATGCTTGAAAGGTGGTTCACATTGTCATTGCAGGAGCGACTGCATCTTGTAATTTTTTCAAAATTATAACATTATGCTAATAAGTTTTCTTAAGATTTTAAATATATTTTTGGATGACACAAACTTCAACTTATGAAAATAAGGAGGTAAATTAATTAGCATGAATCTCGAGGTAATATTTGATTTAAAAACTTTCAAAATAAAATTCAGAATAATTTGAAGTTGGATTTAAATGAATGTATAATAGAAATGCTCTCTAAATCTTATGTACTTATAGTCAAATGGAGCGGCTTAATAAGAAAAATCTATTAAGCTTAAGATTATTTGACTCTAACATCACTAAAGCATTTAAATGTTAGACAAACAATCTATGATTAAGGGGATAAATTTGTATTGTTGAATTGCGTATTTTTCATTTTGCCAAAATCATCAAAATGCCCCATCTCAAAAGGGCTATAAATATGGCATCATTTTCAACAAGAGAATAGGGATTTGAGAGCTAAATGACATAAAGAACTATATTATTTATTCCAACTATCATCACCATGTTGTTGGGCTTAAATTATCCTCTTGTAGACACCAAATTTATGTACTCTCTATAACAATAATCAAACAATTATTCTCAACATCGCATAAATCCATCTTCTTCAATTATTAAGAAGATATGATTCTTGTATCTTTTATTTATATATATATATATATATATATATATTCTTGTATCTTTCATTGTAATAATAGATTACTGCAAATTGGGTAGGCCATAAAAATTTTTCCATTCTTAGATTTTCTACATAAAAATTTTTGGTTCCCATACTTTTATCGATGAGTAGAATTTTATAAAAACCTAAGAAATAAAACTTACACTCTACACTCTACATTCTACACTCACAACCCTCTAAATAACAAATTATATTGAAATTTAACCTGAATTGAAATTTTGCCAACCAATGTGAATGAATCTAAAGCAAGGAAATACAATAAATATTTTTCCTATGACCATCTGCAGTAGTATATTTTTTATTACATAGATAACAAATTAAAATAAATTAAATCAACTAATAAAATAAAGAAAATGTGATTAGATTGATATTTGAAGTAAATCTTGTAAAGAGAATTAACAAGAAGATCTTCATCAAATTTGTCCATCTTGAATAAATTTGGCATTAAACATTATATTCATACAACTCCATTATCAATTATGAGCTTGCAAAATTTCTCACGTTTCAAATAAGTTTTAAAATATACAGAGATCATTCAATCATATTCGATCTTAAGAGTAGCTATGATACTAAAAAAAAAAAAAAAAAAGAGTAGCTATGTTACCACATATAATACTTAAAGAACCACCAACTAAAGCATCATCAAAATAGCTAATTTGGTATCCATATAATCTTTAAAGAGTTGGGTTCAAAGTCCTTAGTAGGCTGTTGGTTAAAGAACAAAGAGTAGTAATTCTTGGGAACAATCTCAGAGTAGTACTGTGACTCTATACTTAAACCTTTTTATATAAGATAATCCAGAAAAAGTAAGATTATGCTATTCTGAAAATTGAATAAAAGATGAAAAAAAGGGTAAAGCTAGCAGAAAAGAAAGCATATAATTGTAAAAACGGGAAATCATTCAAGTCCAAGCACATTGCATGATCTCAAATTTGATAATCCAGCCTACAAATTAATGTGATTTATTTAGTGTGTGGAATCAAGAGGAGCCTTAATGACATAATACCTTAGCAAATGAAGGTTGAAAAACTGTCTCCTCTACATCCATTCACAAGACATCCCCTTGGTGATGCTATGAATGTTAAATTCACTTTACTGATGGTTGGATGGAGAATTTTCTAGCTATGTGAATTTCCCCAACTAAGACTTCATTTGGGACAGCTTTTTTACTGCTTCTTAAAATAATTTTTTAGAACAAATATTAAAAATTTTATACTAAAAAGTTGTTTTAAGAAGCAATAAAAAAGCTGTCCTAAATGAACCTTAAATAGAGTTTAAGTGATGCGATGACAACTTTTCCTCATCCTGATGGCTGTACCTCTGGCTTGGTAGACAATTCAAAGCCAAGCTGATTGTTTTTGGGGTTAGATGCTGGCTAGTCCTTTGATTATCAATTCTTACTTCATTGCGGACGTCCACTTCAATGACTGAGCAAAAACTTGATTATGATGGGAGAATCACGTCAAAGATCCCAAGAAGCAGAAACCTGATGATCTTACATCATTTACCTATTCACCAGAGATCTCCACAAGAACACGAACCATCTTTGAAATGATGAAACCGATTGGTATCCCTCACAGTAATATCCCGTCTAAACACCTTTGACAACAACTTAGTATACTCATGACAATCGCCACAAACTCTAAGGTTTTTGGTGATCCTGATAGTTGATCCAGGAGGAATATGAATTAAACCAAATGCAATTGCTAGCCTCTCACTGTGTGCATAAAGCATCTTTATTTTCTCCTCCTCCCCAACGTCATGCAAAACAAACCTTGTATCTGCGACATAACCTGCTTCCTTCTCCAAACTTTGGGTTATCTCAGCCAACTTGGCGTAGACTTTTGATGAATCTTCATGACATTTATCCCTTGCAACAAATGAATGAACCTTGCTTCCCACTTCAATCCAACTACATGCTGGGTCCTTCTTCAATCCTTTTTGCTTCATCTTCGATCTCAATTCCCGGACATCTTGCCATTTTCCCATTGCAGCTAAGGAATTTGAAATAAGCACAAGGTTTCCTGGATTTTCTGGCTCCAATTCAAGAAGCTTCTTAGCTGCAAGTTCACCAAATTCATAGTTTGAGTGGACACGGCAAGCCCCGAGGAGGGCACACCACACTGGCGCAGTTGGTTTAGTTGGCATCTTTCTAATGAACTCATATGCCTCCTCCACTTTCCCTGCTCTACCAAGAAGATCAACAATGCAAGCATAATGCTCTGGCCATGGTTTCAACTTGTGCTCATTGATCATTTTATCAAAAAATAATTTTCCTTCCATAATTAGTCTGGAATGACTGCATGCATAGAGAAGAGCTAAGAAGGCAATATGATCAGGTACTATTCCCAGGGTCTCCATTTTGTCAAACAAATCAATAGCATCCCTTCCTCGACCATGCATACCACAAGCATCAATGATACTTGTCCATAGAACCAAATCTTTATATTTAACACCATCAAAAACTTTGAAAGATTCATCTATACTACCACATTGAGCATACATATCCACGAGCAAACTACTGACAGATCCATCTATTCCTAGGCATCTTCTCATCATGAAACCATGAACTTCTTTTCCTTTCATCAAGGATGCCATGCCTGCTATGGCAGAAAGGATACTGAAGAGTGCAACCACATCAGGCTCTATATTGGCTTTCGTCATCTCTACACACAAACTTAAAGCATCGTTGAAGAGCCTATTATGTACATAGCAAGTCATCATGCTAGTCCAAGACACCACATCCTTAGTCTTTATCATACTAAAGATTTGCAGAGCCTGACGAACCTCTCCGCATTCTCCATAAGCATCTATAAATGTGTTCTCAAGTACAAGATCAAGCAACATGTGCCTGATAGTATAGCCATGAATCTGCTTCAAGAGAGAAAGACAAACTAAACTGCTACAAGCAAGTAAGATACTGCCGATTATCATTGGATCAGCTTTAATTTCTTCTTTCAGCGCTTGTCGGAACAATTCAACTGCCTCCAAGTAGTAGGAATGCTGAGCAAAGCATGCAATCATGGTCGTCCATGATATGACATCCTTATTAAGAATTCCATGAAACACAAATTTGGAATAGTTTACAAGGCTGAATTTCGCATACATGTTTATGAGAGTATTTCCCATTTGCAAATTGGAATCGAAACCTCTTTTTATCGCATAACCATGAATCTCTTTTCCATTCAACAAGTTCCCTAACTGCCCCAAAGCAGAAGCTACAGTTACGAGAGAAACTTGATCAGGTTGAAAACCCATTTGAAGCATCTGATAAAAAATTTCAACAGCTTTCCTATATAAACAATTCTGAGCATATCCAGATAGTAATGAATTCCATGACACATTATCCTTCTCATTCATCTCATTAAACAATCGAACAGCATTGGGAATACAACCACTCCTTGTATACATAACAACCAGAGCATTTCCTTCATAAAGTTCAAAACTCCTATTGTTTTTCAAAAGTGAGCAATGAACCTCCCTACCCAATTTCAGCAGGGACAATTCTGTGCAGGCTTGAAGGACACTAACGGCAGTATAAGTGTTCATGCTCAAACCAAACCTATGCATTTCTCTAAACAGGTAAATGGCATCAAAATAATTTGCAGCTTGCACACAACCAGAGATAATAGAATTCCACAGCACAACATCACCTTTCTCCGGCATCCACTCGAAGAACTTTCTTGCTAGATCAAGTTGCCCACACTTTGCATACATGGAAACAAGTGCATTTGCAACAAAACCTAGACTAGTAAGACCGCATCTAATAGCGAAACTATGAATCTCAATCCCACTGTGAAAGTCTTCAACAAAGCCACAAGCCTTAAGAACAGAAGCAAAGGTACACCCATCTGGCATTTCACCCAACATCCGCATATTCCAGTAAAGCTGAATAGCTGATTCAGGTTTTCCATTAGAGGCATACGCCCAAATAAGCGCATTCCAAGCAAAGATTGTTCTCTGAGGCAATTCATCAAACAACTGCTGTGCTGCATTGAGACACCCACATTTTCCATACATAAATAACAACTTTGTATGCAGAAACCCATCAAAAGAATTTGAATAAGTTTTCAGAATGCGAGCATGGATCTGCTGCCCTTGGGCAGCTACGTTCTGCGAGGCGCAGAGTTCTAGAATCAATGAATAGGCTTCTTGGGAAAGATGGTTTGATGGGTTGACCAGGGAGAAAAATGCTTCTTTGAGATTTCCTTGCTTGCAGAGTTCTTTGAGGGAAGTATTAGTTTCTGGCTTTTGACGAGGGACGGAGAAAACTAAGGGAGGAGTTTTAAGGGAGATAGAAGGGGGAAGTAGAAAAGAGAGGGCCATTAAAAATGAGTGATTTTTGGCCGTGGAAAAGTTGGAGAGAATGCATGTACAAATAGAAAGGAGAAAGAAGAGGGCGCAGGAGCCACAGCCACTGCGATTTTAATAAAATGATAGTTCCTTCAAATTCAGAATGAGAACACAAGAAACAGAAGTTTGTAAATGTAACGGCTCAAAGGCTTAGAATGCATCCAGGAGAAGTGAAGAACCATTCAGAGTACAGTTAAAAAAGAAAAAAAAAAACTATTTTCCGCCACAAACCTAAGCATATTCTTTTCAAATTGTTGGTACACATAACACCTTAAGAAAAAATAGACGAGGATTATATGCATATCACAAAAAAAAAAACATATATATTTAATATTTATTTATCTATCACTTTAAAGTCTAAATTACATCAAAAAATCTATATGAAAATTGTGTTCTATTTTAATTAAATTATTATTAGTGATACTTTTGATGTGATTTAAAATTTTGAGTGTCTAAATAATATAAAGATTTATGAATTAGATATGTGAATAGATAGAAATTTTATAGAATGAATATAAATCCAAAAAAAAAAAAAAAATAGAGAGGTGTTTAATATTTTTTATTATTAAAATTTATACAACTTCAGAATAATTTCGTATTCCCTTATTTACTCTCTAACCCCTTATTTATATGTGGAGGCCAAGGTATATTGTTATATTAAAAAAATGAATAAATTATGTTTGGTGGCCTAATAAAAGTTTTACACAAAATGAAGATTTAGGATCCCCTATCCCTTACATTGGGCATGCATTAGTGATTTTTAAATATTGAGATCATGGACATGAAGTTGCAAAACAACTTCACCTAGGCTAGTTGGGTTTCAACAAGTAGGTTATCTTAAGTGTCTTGAATGATCTTTCCTTGTTATTCCATGGGCTGAGTAAATGGGTGATTAGGCCGTATAAACCTCAGCTATTTTGTATAGTCGGTTTGTGTGCCGAGTATGCTGGTGGATGGCTTTAGTGAGCTAATTCTAACAAGTTTTAAATGTTGACACCACCTAGTTAGCCAGATAGCCTTAGACTCGACCCAAGTGAATTCAAGTGAACATATAATTTTTATATTCTTTTTCTCTTTAATGAAATCTAAAGAGTATTGGTATTAAATACTACCGCTAGGATACGTTTTCACATCATTCATGACTAAATGACATGATTTAACTCTTCGATATACATTAGCATGCTAAGAATCCACAAATATGGATTAGGGCCATCTTCGCAGAGTTTCCTTTTTTGCGCATTCCATCTCTCAGAACTATGTGCAAATCAATTTTCCCAGATGAAGAATAAGTGTCCTTCCTCTGACATCAAGTTTAAAAATCCTTTAAAGAGTTCTATAGTCTTCCCCATAATGAATGGATGAAGGAAGATTAAGTTTTAGTAGAAGATGGCATGAATAGAAAGTTAAACATGATTTACGTACCCTTATGTTTTGGCTATGTATTTTTAATGTCTAAATCCATATAGACATATGGTATGATCCAAGGTGATGAATACCCAAGTATGAATCAAGTGGAGCTCAATATGGAGACCCAAGTTGTCATATTCTATTCTTATACTAAACCTTAATTTGGATTGCATTAACACTACAGGAAAAACGCTGAAAACCGACAGTTTTTTCAGGCGGTTAGTCTAGATTTACCGGCGGTTTTTAATGTTACCGGCGGTCTAACGGCGGTTTATAAACCGTCGGAAAAAATGGCGTAGGAAACCATTTCCGACGGCGTGTTACCGGCGGTTTATTTTTGCGGCGATTTTACGGCGACGAATACCGCCGGTAACCACCAGAATTTTAACCGTCGGTTTGCCGGCGGTTAGGCCGCCGGTCACGTTACCGGCGGTTTTCCGGCGGTTTAAAACTGGCGTCGTCTGGTTCGTAGACCGCTGGACGGCGTCGTTAGACCGCCGGTAATTATGACCTGCTACATCAAAAATAAGGTCTTCATAGGGTCTACTCATTTGATCTTCATCAAATGTTTCATAAGCTGTAGATGAACCGGCATGAGCATCTCTATGTGGCTCGTACTCGCCATGTGATGTCCAAATCCAATAGTTTGGAAGAAATCCCCTACGATATAAATCAAGCTTCACATCATCGGGCTTTAGGAATGCTAGATTTTTATGCTTCGAACACGGACATCTAAACATTTTATCAAACTGAAAGGAAGGCAGTTGAGATGCAACTTGAATGAAAGTTTCAACTCCCTCTATAAATTCAACTGTCAATCCTTTTCGACCCGGCAACAATCTGTTATACATCCAATATCTCTCTTCTTGGATAGTCATTTGCACGTTGAAGTAAACGTACCCTACATGTTGGAGGCATAAACAATCTGTTATACATCCAAATAGATTTTTATACTTTGAAGGACTTAATCATGCTCTAAAAGAACAAAAGCTTATCCATATGTTGCATTTAAATAAAATAAACGCATAGATTTGATTTGGGGCCTAAAGGGGCAAGGTGGTCAACCCTGGTTGACTTGGTCAACCGGGTTGACCCAGGGTACAAGTCTAGGCCCAACAGACTCGACTCGACTCTCTCAACCCATTGGAGAGGGTCTTGGGGTTCGACTTGGTCAATTTGACCAAGTCAACTCTTATTAATGTCTTGATCACCCAATGCCATAATCCCCTCACAAGGTCTATTACAACTAAAAGTACACATCATATATTCAGTTATAGATCTATTGAAGCGAAAACCTTATAAACTTTATAGTTGACCTCCATAATTCATGTTTTCCTTCAACTCCCTTTCTAGTCTTATCAACATGAAGAATATCATCAGTAAAAAGCATACACCAAGGTAAATCCTCTCACAAATGTCTAGTGAGAACATCTATGAGTAAAGCAAAAAAGATATGGACTTCTTGCTGATCCTTGATATAATCCAACCGAAATAGGAAAATACTTGATCAAACCACCATGTATTTGAACACAAGTAATAGCTCCTACATACATATCAATAATGATTTAAATATAAGCATTATTAACTCCTTTCTTCTTAAGAACCCTCCATAGCACTTCTCTTGGAATATTAACATATGTTTTCTCTAAATAGATAAATATCATATATAGATCCTCCTTATTCTCATTATTCCTGTAGTATAAGTAGAGCCCAATTGCATCTATAAATTTTTTTATGGGGGTATTATAGAACTCATCCCTATAGATATTATTTATATTTTTATTATTTCTTTGATATGATTTAATTCTTTGTACTACTTTGAAACTAAAAATTTCTTTTAACTTCATTTATATTATAATGCTCCAGAATCTAATTTTGGAAAAAATTTATAATTTAATCTCTTTAGTAGCCGACTAGAACTTATATGAATCTACTAATATAAATTAATTGAGTAAAGTAATTAAAAATTATATACATCAAAATATATAACTGTATTCATTCCTCAAAATTTATATGCAATAGCCAAGAGTTCAATCCATTCATTCATCAGTCTATCTCTTTGCTTTAACTACAAAAGAATAAAATTAAAGAAAATATAGAAATAAAAAAATATGAATCTCAAATTTGTTCTCACTACACTGGATCCTAACGCCTTCCTAAAAAATATATAAAACCATAAAGTGAGGAATGTGAATATTCTATATATCAGTGTTTTCTCCTAAAATCAGTAAATATTCTTCTCTTATTACCACATTTCCCTCTAAATATCTCTTCACCTGCTCTCTTTTTACTCCTGTCCTATCTGAGTCGAGGAATAGCCAAATCATTTTCTATATGCCATGCTCTCTCAACTATCTCTGAGAAATCCTAAATCCTCAGTGGAACTAACAGATGCGAGAACTTATACTTTAATCCTGTAAAAAATCTATAGATTTTTTTCTTAGCAATACTTATCAATTGAAATGCATACGTGATCAATGTAGTAAACTCCACCTCATGATGTATCATTATTCTGTTCCCATGTTGTAATCTTATTAAAGCCTCATGGATCTACTATCGCACTCATGGAGTAACAAACAAGTCTCTAAAGACAAACAAAAACTCTGCCCAAGTAATCTTTGTATTATTCTTTCCTTGAAATTTGTATATGTTATCCACTCCACCATCTCTTAGCTTCTCCTTCAAATAGAAAGACTATTAGTGGTACTTTTTTTTTAAGGACACTATATATTATCAAATATCTTTTCTATTTTTAGTAACGAATCTTCTATTTCTTGAGGCTTAAAAGCACCCTTGAACAATGGGGGCTTCAACTTGTGGAACATTTATAAATGTTTATCCTCTTCAGTCTCCTTACTTAAAGCCTATCACACCCCAACCCAATCAGAATATATCCCATCGTGTTTAGCTATGATAAGTTATTCCCAATATCTAATTTTGAAATGTTTCAAATTTTCTTCTAATTTTATTTTAAATAAAAATCCATACTACGGAGCTATTAAAATGCCTAAATACTAAAAATAAACTCATTCATAAGATTTATTTTATTTCATTAAAATGTATATATATTATAGTATATGGTTATATATATTAGCTTTAGAATAAAAAAATAAATTTGCAATATTTGCACAAAAATCAAAATAGATAAGTATCTATAACCTTAGATCTGATTATGAACTGTTAATCAATAATCTCCTTCCCTTTATCAGATCACAAAAATCATAAGAAAATCTTCGTAAGATATAACAACTCAGTAGGCCACACAAACTGATTTAAATTTTCAAACTCTTTTCTTTTATTAAATATTTTGTTAAATATTTAAAGCAATTAAATGAAATATAATAAATCTTTATTTGTATTGAGAAAGGTAGTAAAAGCATAGCAGTTATCTAATTTTTTAAATAATAATACTAAAAATATAAACATACTGAATAGAAATATTATAGCACAATTTATATCACAAAGTAGTTCATATCATATATCTCGATCCCAGAAAGAATCTTAAAGGATTCTAACCCTTTATGTCTCTCCTTTGAGCATATAGAATCAGAACATGCTAGTAGACATCAGAACAAGGCTAATAGTCACCAAAATAAGGCTTTAAAGCCATTAGAACATGACTTATAGGCACTAGAATAATCCATAACACAGATAG